CCCTACTTTCTCCTCCCTCCTCCGCCCCCGGTTGTCGCCGCAATTTAAAGTCGACCAACGAGTGGAGGGAGGGGGGAATGCGGAGCATTCGAAATAGCGACGACCGGCGGAGCGGGGAGGAGGGACGGGGGGTATTGAGGCTTTCCATGTAGTGACGAGAGGGTGGGGAATGGAAATCGTCCAGACAGCCCCTCCCTCTCCCCCCGAGAAAGCCGTCCTAAATCTGCCTATCATCAGTAAAGCATTTGCAGTCTCTGTCGAGGTTCACTGTAGTAGTTCGGTTGGTTTTCCTGGTTTGTTACTTCGTCTACTTAATCAATTTCTTGGACCCCACTACTCTGACTTGCCGTGTAAGGTAAAAATACTTCTTTCAAAAGCACAAGTTGTTGTTTGCATCATGCTGCGTTTGCTCCCCATAATGAACAAAGGGCACCATGAGGCAGCGTGAGAATGCGCCAAGCGTCGACTAAGTTATAGTCAAGTTCGTTTTTCATTTTTGCGCTTGACATTAACTGGGTGTATTATTTGTCCTGCATATTCTCAGAACCAGATATTTCAAGAAACAGGTGTTTGTTCGCCTTCATCGTCATCACTGTTCTATCACCTCTGTCGTTTCGTTCCTTTCGCCAGTGCCAGATCTGCCAAAGTACTTCTCTAACCCTCCTACTTCCTCACTGTCTGCTTTGAAATCGTTCTTCACGGTCGTGTTTGTAGTTTTTTCGATAAAAGTTTTTTTAAATCAGTGTAGAATTTTTCAGCTTCATCGTTACTGTCGGTCATAGTCGAGGCATTAACTCCAATAATTTTGGAGGTTTTATTGATAAATAGAGAAAAGAAACAAGAAAGGCATCGAAATTTCCAGTGAATACCGGGATCACCAGCAGGCCGACGCCTGGTAATGCATCAACGGCCACAGCAACTTGTCGAACTCGATTTAGACCTTGTATCGACAAGTGCGGGTACTCGCGATGTCAGGACACTTAGCAATGGCAGTCAGTATCGATATATCCGGGAATAAGCTATTCGGGACTGGTGAAACTGACAAGAGATGGCAACATATAGGCATCACTTCTTGCTAATGATAAATCGGATTCTGATAACACTCCTCTGATCATGTGTGCCAAGAAAAATCATTCTACGATGACACTGGCCCAATACCACATAGCACTAGCCAGACGAAATACTACACAGTATTTTTTTTTTTTTTTCAATATGTTTAAAGCCGACAGAGCTAGTGTTTCTGCGTTATTTCGCCGCCACTTTCACACCACTATCAAGCATTTAGGTTCGAATCTGTGACCCAGCTCCGTTGTTAAAACCGAAAAGCTGGACATCTACATACAGACTGCACTCTTTTTACTTATGTCAAAAAGTAGTTTCGTATAAGTTTCACTGTCAGCTAGGAATCAGAAGTGTTCTTCGTGCAGTTGCCTCTGTATATGCTGTACTCCGCTTAAAAATCCCCAAAAAATAAACAAAAAATAGAAACGGCATGCATGCACGTATGCATATGAGTGGAAAATCTAATTCAACAGTTAAGAAAATGGAATTCTGGGAGTTCAGTTCTTAACAGCTTTGTGCTTTGCGACTATGCACTTTTGCAACAAGCTGTTGCGGGTACTTGGTTCATATATGGATCGACATGAAAAGCTCTATTAAAAATTGCTTTCACCAAAATCATCACGCGCGATAAGCACGAAAATTTCGGATTCATGTCTTGGAATTGGCTACAAAATCAACCTCCGTTCTGCAGCCTCACTAAAAATATGTAGACGCGCTATCATAGGTCATGGAGCAGAGATGTTTGAAAGCAAATTCCAAGCGTACATCTCTCTCACTGTTTATGTGATTCAACCATATTCTCAGTATTTTTGTTTCTTTCTGAGACTGCAAAATCAGCCTGAACGTGGATCTGATAAACAAAGGCATGTGCGTATAAATTCACATACAAAGGCTTGGCCCTGTTATAATGCGTTTGGCGGATTTTTACAATAACGTTTAATAGTCAGAATTACAAAACTTCACTAGAGCATGGAGCATCCAACTTCTGGCTGTATATTGACCCAGCCATCGGTGCGGCTCAGCTCTTTGGTGCGTACCCCTTTACGCTGAATTAGTAATAACTAGGAAGTGTGGACTTACCCAGATTTAGTAATGGGGGTGCGGAAAAAAAAACTTTAGAAATCGGACTGTTTTTTGATAACGAATAAGAGCGCTGATGTGAACGTGAACTTGCCATTACTGAACACTTAGCGGTGTGAGTTAAAAGGATTAAGAGGAATTTGGCTAGAGGCGGCTTTCACTCGCTGTCATTCAGAACTCAGTACCGATGTATAAAATGCGCACTGAGTGCACCACCAGCAGTGTGTTCACGTTTTAATCGCGTGTTATCGGTTTTATAAGGGTAGGATGAAAATATAACTGGAGTTATGTTTAAAGTAGATGAGGAGAAGTTGGCCAAGTTTTGTCGGTTAATATCAGTGTACTCGAGAAGCGCCCGGTTTCAAAATCGTTGTTTTCCTACCGCTCGCATATATAGTACGTGTGAAGCCCGACTTATGTCAAAAAACTGGGTTATTTTGACAAAATTCGATTTGTGCGGTGTTTTCAGGTTTTAAATTCAGTCATAATATTGGGCCAACAACTTCAATCGGCGAAGTTCCGACAGCTGCTGATTAAATGATTGAAGTGATAAGGCATACATCAGATTTCAAGCAGTTTGCTTCGCCCTTCTATATGGATTCGTCTGCAATTATTCCAGAAGCTCTGTATGCAGCTACCGCTGCTGTTACACAAACGGTCCCGAGTAATGTGGTTGCTGCAGCAGCAAATGCTTTAATGCAGATCCCGCCGAGAAACGACCAGGAATTGGAGGATGCCAAAACAAAAACAAAACGACTACTAAAGAAACCGAAACATGGAAGTAAGTTGATATGACGAAATTCTCAATTCGAAATCATGGGGACACAGCTTCCCATGAATCAAGCCTCTTTCGAGATTCGCAGTTGGAGCCATAATGTGTTATTTTAAGAACACAGAAAGAATGAGCATCGAACTGAAAAAGACCTCGATTCCAGCTGTAGCTAGATTTGATCCCATTTTCATTTTCTTTTTGACTGACAACAGCAAGTTTCCTTTGCCACTGTTGTTTGGTCTTTACCTGGTCTGATCAGATTTAGGATCAGTGGTGGCGAGCACCAGGCTGGCAGGTGCGATAATGCGTTTTCGCACTATTTCGTGCTGTAGTAAGATCGCAAGGAATCACAGTAGCTAGAATTTGTGACATACTGCTCTCAAGTTCAGGAAGTTAATTGTGCATCTATGTGGCGTGTCAGTTGTGGATGTCGGCTTCAGTGACACAACAAACAGAAAGTTGCTGGCGCGCGAAAAAGACTCCCGAGAAGAGCTGAATTTGAAATCTTTTAGTCGCACATGCTTTAAAATCCCAGCTTTTTAGATTTTTTTTGTCTCCGAGTTAGCGATTTTTCCGCCAAAGTTTTCACGTGTCCGTGCGTGAAACGTAGACGTGCATGACACTTGAAATCACGTCCTTGAGGTCGCGCTTAGCCAGGGGACACACTGACAAAATTCCAGCATCAAAGGTTGAGTCCTGCTGGATAGAAATACCCGGATAGACGAACAAATACACACACGCACAGACAAGATCATTGTAACATGCGTTTTTGCTACATGTTGCAGCGCTCTAGGGCTGCACGGCAAAAACGCATAAAAACACGTATACCGACTGATTGGGTGTCCAAGTAAGAGTGGCGTCGCAAGCCTGATGTTTGTCGCTTTTTTTGGAGCCATATTGTTACAGTTGATATTGTTATACTTTACATTACGCACAATTCTTGTTTATCATTTTTTGCCTCATTGGACTGCTTTCTTTTTCTTTTTTGGAAAAATTATCCTGGAATCAGCAACTGCAGTGAGTTGTGAGCTGATTTGCCGTTGGTTCATTCCGGTTTTTTATGCGTTTTTGCATATATGTAAATTGCAAAAACGCATATTGGGAAGAGGCTATCTGTGTGTGTGTGTTCGCACTTTCTGTTACCCACTTTCAACTCGAGACCCAGAAAAGCTAGAAGGCTGAAACTTTGAGGATATGTGCCCATACCG